TACCAACTGACAGGTGATCCGCCTCGCCACACGAAACAGAAAACTTCGCGTACCTCGCAGTGTTAGTATTATTGACATTCCTTGGCAGCGACGTAAATTTTTATTCTGTACGCCCCTCGCTCATCCACGGAGCCAGCAGGTGCACGAATGGACCGGACATTTGGAGACAATGTGAAACATACTCGAAGACAGGTGGCAGCGTAATATCTTTCGGAAAACTTAGTGTTGGAAATCAGATTCTCAAGGCCCCCGTGTGATAACATCGGTAATTATTCCATTTCAGGACCACACAATAATGCCGTTTATCTTGCTGTTGTAACATGTATATTACATACTTGCTCTACACAAATGACAATTTGGCTGAGACACCACCGAAAAAAACGTCTTAGTCATAAGGAGTTAAAAATTTTCTGCTTAAAATTAGCAAAGCTTATTATGTTAGATTAAATAAATCAGAAGTGCATGTCATTTGCTTCAGAAATAACATATAGAGGAACTTCCGCTTCCGTTGACCAGACGTCTTGGACACGAGGGTCATTGAAAAAATCAACTTGGTGTCGTGACAGAAAGGGCTGTTAAGAACTTTCAGTCGAGTCTGGTCATTCCATCCCTCCCGGCGTCTTTTCTGAGCACGCGACTGTATAGACTATTGCGTATTTTTTTGAGGTGGGGAGTAAAACTGTGTTTTAAAATTGCATTTATAGTATAAAGAACGCCGTCAATTTTCTTTCGTGAATATGATATAGAGCCTACATATTAAATATATTATTTTTCATCTGTAACAAGGACTGCATGTGAAAAACATTTGAATGGTAATAAGTTGGAATGAAACTAATTGAACAAATCAGAACACAAATAATTGCTTACTAATTATAATTCTCAAATAGTGTTTGAGGCAATCTCTGATGACATCGCAGCGTACGCATAGCGAATAGGATATAGATAAATTATACACTATTGGAATTCACACTAACTTACCAGATGAATTGTACACCACCACTACTAATATAAAATTACGAGAAAATCGTGTTCATGCCAGTGGCTAAAAGTAAGAGAGACTATGCCATCCGCAGTAGAGTCTGTGGGTCATGTCAACTCCAATTGTAGGAGCCAACTGCACCCCTATGGATGCAGAAAAGCACAACACGCATGCGGGCCATGATAAACAGGCAGAAGCCACTATGCGCCGCGGTGCAAAGTTTTTCCGTAGAATCAGACGGATGACCCAAACCTGATGTAGTCCTCGTGCGGCGGTGAGTCTGCAATTATGGGGGACTTCCGCGATGGCGCCGGCATCCAGTGACAAGAGTCGGAAGGAAGACGGAAAGAGAACGAACAATATGAACCAGTCGCGCTCGTCTAGGCGTGAGGTGCTTCCGCTGGCGGTGGGCCCTCGGCGAGTGGAGTAGGGAGCAGCAACGCGCGCGTCCAAAAAAGGTTGCCTTCGGGCCCTAAACCAAAAGCCCTTAAAGAACGCATAATATCCATCCCCGGCGAGCGCAAGTTGCTTCTACTCGCTGTGTGACACACAGAGTGAGTTTCCTTCGCTACGATTTTTGCCCGTTCTGCGCAGCCAATCAGTTTGCTGGTCCTATATGTAAATAAAAAAAAATTGAAGCCGTTTTATAAATTGTCGTTTGAGTTTTCAACAACCCTTTCAGTGGCAGGGGTTCCCAACCATGCTATCCGTTGTAATACTCCGCATCTAACGTACTTTTCTCGATATACTTTTGCGAATGTCCGAAACGTGTATGAGAAAGTGAAAGATACCACGGCAATGGATTGTAATATTTTCAAACGGTTTCTTTGCTTGTAATAAAAAACAAATAAACCAATAAAATACAAGAAAAAATAAATTAATTTCTTAAACACGTCACATGTTCTTCATAATCATGATTAAACATTAAATGTCTCTCAGCATGCCTCTAAAAATTTTAACACATTTAAGTTTCAGAGGTCACGTCATTTTTTACTTAAAACAACTTATATGATAACTTTGTTTGTTAAATTATAATTATATTCTATTATTATTATTATTATTTATTATTATTATTTCAAAATGATCAGAGTTCTGTACTGATGTGGTTCTCGAGCATAACTTTCTATTATTATTAGTTTGAGAATTATTGCCCTGCTTACACCGAAACGCCAAACTCTTGAAGTCCCTATTGTGATTGGAATGATTCCTTTGGCGAAATAGTCTCAGATCTGTAGGCACCGACATTGAAAGTTTCCGTCTTGCTCTGGGGTCACAAACACTGTACATGTTATTCTTCAGCTTTGCTGGTTAACGGTTATGCCTGGATCTGCGTAAACGTAGATTTCACGTAGGCTGGTTGTTTTAATCAATATTTTAATTTCTCGAAAACTACACTATGCTTTTATTAATACACTCAGTTGATAAACAGTTTCTTCCATTAATCATTGGCAAATATATTTTGCCCCAGAATCTGGCAATGAGAGTGATCAATGAAACAGGAAATTCGGTTGTTTCTTATATGTTTGTTTATTCTTTATATTGCATCAAGTTGTTTGTGTATCTCGTACAAGTGTTTTTTCAAAAGGATTTAATATTTCACTATAAATTATTCCAAACAAGATCTAATCGCATCATAAACTTGTGCTGTTTGAAAACTGCTGATAGATAAATGTATTCTGTACCAGCAGACCGATTGGCAAGTTTTAAAGAATATCTTCAGTGCACAAGAAAGTGAACAAGACAATACGTACTTTTGTCTTAAGTTGTATATTCTAACACCGCTTGTAAAATACTCTCCCCTTGTCCTGTGTCTAATAATAAACGAGACTGTAAAGGTACTTTCCACGATTTTGTAAGCACACAGCTTCCTATCCGCGTAAAATGTAATTAAAAAGCGAACTATTTTTTGAAAAAAACTTAAACATTTTTCCCTTCCATAATTCATATAAAACCCTCCCAAACTAGAGATCTATTTCAACTTTGCAGGACCACAAAGCCAGCAAAATTGGTCAGAGGAAAAACAATTTAAAAAATATTTATACTAATGGTTTAACCGCGTGCTATTTGGATAGTAATTGTGTTGCACAACTTCCTAATATACTTTGGTATCTTTTGATCACTTTTTTAGAACACCATTTAATTGACATTGTATTAGAGGGAGACTATCCTTTCATCCAGAGAAAAAAAATTTTAATTCGTGGAACATTTGCGAAAGTTAATGCTGCAAAAAAATAAACATGACACAATCTATAACCTCTTTTCGAGGTTTAAAACAGTTTTTTAAATGTCATTTTTCTTGTGCACGTACGATAAATCTTTCATAATCAAGACAATTACGTTTGCTTCACCAACTAAAATAAATTTTAAATTTAATTAAAGTAGTGAATGGAATTGTGATGGAAATAGTAATCATGATGAAATGAATCAATAGAAAATATGATGGAAATAAAAATCAACGATTCACAATTACGTCAGTACACTCTATCTGTAACTACTATTGTCTATTCCAGCGCCGCCCTCGTACGAAGAGTGTGTCTCGGGGAGAGCAGACATTCGCAGCGATGACGACAGCAAAGATCTGCAGGGGAAAACGGATTTCGCGCCTCGATACCCCATGTATCGATTCCAGTGATTTATGTGGTGGGGATGGGACAAACATTAAGTCTTGTTGTATCTGAATCCTAGTAGGTTCTCGAATCTCGCTTCTAAATAAATCTTTCAAGGAAGTACTAATACAAATAAAATACTCCCATATAATTATTCAACAAATCAAACATTTTTTCTAAAACAGTCTTCAAGAATACTGCAATATCCTGGTTTAGAATGTACTACAGTTCTTTACATTCCGATAATATAACAACGTTTCTGTTTCAAAACGTAAAATGTGAATAGCAGATATTTAATGTCGCGCAGCCTCTTCCTTGGAGCCTTGCTGGCGCATGCCGTCAGCTGTCTTAAGCGTCGTACGGAGTATGATAATTCAGTCACGTAGTTTTAGAACAAAGGGACTCATATGAGGATTTATTTGTTTTTGAATTTCCCGCCGTTCAGAGCATCTAACAAAACCATCTATACGCCTCGAAAGGCCGGATGCTGTGTAGCTTTCTTTCAATTTCTGCGCACATTAGAAATTGTTAATAAAAATAACGATATTAATAATTTATCCCACAATTTAAGAAATTGCTGCAGGAAAGGAATCAAATTATAGATACGTTCTTTACAGTATAAACATTCAAGAATGCTGGTGACTAGAACACGTTTTCGATCCTTGTGTGCCGGTAATTATTTACTTCGCAGTTAAACAGGTCGGTAAACGGTGGTTGGGGCACTGTCTGGCATACGCTCTGATAGATACTTCTGTCACGCGGTAGAGGCAACAATTGAATTGAATTTGCCTTATTTTACGTGGCGAGACTCGGGCCATCAGGCCCGCTCTTCCGCCTGACCACGCAAATTCCGCTACGCTCCTTTCA